ACATGTCGGATCATGCGGGAGAGCTAAAGCATTTAAATTAAAAATTGTTTTTGGTTTAAAAATTCCATCTTTAGCTCTCGTGCGCATGGGATGAACGTTGGGAGCCATCCGAGGTGGAGAGGGTGGTGGCGTGTCAGAGGGGCTGGAGGAAAAGGAATTGGCCGTAGGACTGGAGGTGGTCAGTGAGCTATGATCGGTGATGGACTGTCCTGAGGGGCTACGTGTGTGGTCAGATGAAGGACTGGTGATTGGGCTAAATGTAAGAGGGACATAGGGGGAGGATGGACTGGTAATCGGCCTGGGCTCAGTCGAAACAGGCTGTTGGTTGGGTGTAAAAACTGGATGAAGAGAGTGTGTAGTGGGTGTAGCCGTAGTACGGGTTGATGTCCACGGCAGTAAATAGGAATTTGAGGAATTTGGGATAGAGATCAAGGTAGAGTATGGAAAGGTAGATTTGTGAAAAGTTACATCCCGGCTTATGTAGACACGCCCTGTCCTGGGATCGAGACAACGATAACCTTTGTACCCCGGAGCATATCCCAGAAAAACACAAAGAATGGAACGTGGTGAAAGTTTATTAGAGGAGGAGGCAACAATGTTAGGAAAACAGGCACACCCAAAAACACGTAGAAAAGTGTAATCAGGTGGTTTTTGAAATAATTTCTCGAACGGAGACACATTGCCCAGAACCGGAGTGGGTAACCTATTTATAATAAACGTGGCCGTATACAAGGCATCAACCCAAAAGGAATTTGGAAGACTAGCATCAATCAGCATAGTCCGAGCTAATTCAAGTAAATGGCGATGTTTGCGTTCTGCCACACCGTTCTGGGCGGGTGTATCCGGGCAAGATTTTCTAAAAAGAATACCACAACTAAGAAAATGTTGCTGAAAGGCTGTATTGACAAACTCACCCCCTCCATCACTCTGAAAAATTTTAATTTTAGAGTTAAATAAATTTTCAACTAATTTCTGAAAATTGCAAAAATGAAGAAAAACTTCGGACTTCCGATGCATGGGGTAGACCCAAGTGAACCTGGAAAAATCATCAATAAAGGAAACATAATATTTGAACCCTAAATTAGAAAGCACAGGCGATTGCCAAACATCAGAATGAATGAGCTCTAACGGAGCCGAAAAATCATGAATAGCATCTGTAAAAGGAAGACGATGGGACTTGCCCAGTTTACAAGGAACACATTCACGTGAAAATAAACTAGAACTAGTAATAAAATTCTTGGGATAAGGGTCAGATAGGGCCTCGAACTCGAAAAAAAATGTCAAATAAGGTCATATTTCGGATGCTCTGTCTGGCCGACGCCATTTGGGGCGGTTCCCGATGGAATTTTTTGATAAAATTTTTTGAGCATCTTCCTCATTAAGTCTAGTGTACCCATACCAAATTTCAGCTAAAAACTCAACCGGGAAGGTAGTCAAATGAGTTTTTGAAGATAACTGTGAAGTTAAACAACGCCGTACATTTCGGAAAATTATTTGACTACCTTCCCGGTTGAATTTTTAGCTGAAATTTGGTATGGGTAAACTAGACTTAATGAGGAAGATGCTCAAAAAATTTCATCAAAAAATTCCATCGGGAACCGCCTCAAATGGCGTCGGCCAGACAGAGCATCCGAAATATGACCTTATTTGACATTTTTTTTCGAGTTCGAGGCCCTATCTGACCCTTATCCCTAAAATTCTTTTTCCTAAGAATAGATAAAATACGATCCCCACAGTGACCAAGTCTTTTATGCCAAACTGGGCCAGATACAAGTGTTGTGTTGAACGCCAGGGACGAGGTAGGGTGATGGGTAGCTGTGAAGGGATAGACGCAGTGTTTATTGGTGGCTTGAAGAAGGATGGCCCCCGTGTGATTGTCCTTGACAAGAAAAGAATTTTTATTAAAAATAACGGAGCAATCATTATCCGCACATAAACGTTGAATAGATAATAAATTATATTTAAGCTGCGGGACATGATAAACTCGTTTTAATGCAAGTGGACGGCCAGCAGTAGTTAAATTAATATTGCCAATATGAGAAACTGAGAGATTAGTACCATTAGCAACTTGAATAGAATGTGAGCCGCTATAAACAGATTTATTTAATAGAATACCTTCTGACGGAGTCATATGAGCCGAAGCCCCAGAATCAGGGTACCATACAGATTCATTTGATTCACCTGTGGGTAGAGCCGCCAAAGCTGGAGCGGACGGGTTGACAAAACGAGAACAAGCCAAAGCAGAATGACCGGGAGAGAAGCAAATTTGACACACTATGGGTGGTGGGGGGGACTGAAAATTATCAACTGATGGAGAACCTACCAAGTTAGGATGAGTAATACAAGCAGATAAAGCATTTATATTGGCTACAACGCGACCAAAATTACTTAAAACCGTACCTTGAAACCCAGGAGCATTTGAGCCTCGTGGTGCAAAGTTTGGAGGAGGCATCTGCCAGCCTGGAAAGGGAGCTGCACCATACCCCTGCTGGAACTGGGGGCCTCGAACCTGCGGGAACTGCTGCCCAGCATGCTGCGGGTACTGATGACCGCCATAATTTTGCCCTCCATAACTGCGGCCCCTACCGCGGTGTCCCCGCTGCCGTCCGCCATTGCCGCGATATCCACGACCACCCCCATGGCCTCGATAGTGCTGATCACCACCACGACCAGCTGGACGTTGAACTGCCGCAGCGGCCTGTTCTGCCGCGCCAAAAGCCTGGTGTCCAGGATGAGAATTCTGAGAACGAAGATAAAGAGCTCGTTGTTCAAGTGCCAGGAGTTGTGGACGTAAACTGTCAATGGTAAAGCTATCCGGGAACAATGTTATTGACGTAATAAGAGACTCGTATTCCGGTCCAAGACCTTGAACAGTGGCCAGCAGGAGTTCGCGGTTAGTAACCGGCGAATTTATGGAATTTAGGGAATCTGCCAGGTTTTTGATGTCCCGCAAATATTCATCCATGCTTTGAGAGTCCTTCTTTTTTAGATTATTCAAACCGCGTTTAAGTTCCATGGCACGAGCAATGCTCTCGGCCATAAACCGAGTCTCCAATCTCTCCCAAATAGGAGCAGAAAAACGAAGGTCCCGTACCTCTATTAAAAGATCACGTGAAAGGGTAGCAAACAACCACGAGCGTACCGTTTGATCAATGCGCAACCAATAGGTGTAGTCGAGATTAGCAGCACCTCGAACTAAGGCAGGAGGGGCAGAGAGGGAACCATCCAAAATTCCAATTAAGCCATGAGAGACCAAGAACGATTCAAATTGTGTACGCCATGAAAGGTAATCCTCAACCGTGGCTAGGCGTGTGGTGTCGATATTGGTGACGTTGGGTGTCGAAAAAGATAATTGAGAGAATATTTGTGATAGCGGGCTGGAATTTACCGGGTTGACTGCCGTGCGTGAAGCCGGATCAAACGTGGAAAGTAGAGGATTGCCAGTCCACGTCGGTCCAGAGAACCCCGGCAAGACCGATGAAGAGGCACGGGCTGGCGACGTCGTTGGAGTCAACACTGGTGGTGGCGGCAGAGTGGGTATTGCAGGCGACCAAGTGAACGGCTCTGGCATATTAAACAGACTGGAAGTAATTGAAGGAAATTGCATCCGTGAAGAAGAAAGACCGGGTGACAAAAGAACACCCGAAGAAGGCGGCTCCGAGATAGTGGGCGCCATGAATGAAGCTGTAGCGGAAGAGTTGAAAGTCGGATGGGAGACCGGTGGCTGCTCCAAGCTGGTGGGCGCCGATGAAGAAGATGCGGCCTGCGACATTAGGTTTACCGAACCCTTGCGTCTGATACCATGTGAATTAGTGATTTTGGAGAATAATGGCATACCAAAACTGGTAGCCCTAGTAGTGTATATATAGTAATCAGGGAATAAGTAATTACACAAAGGTCTTTAATACAATAATAATAATAATACGCTATTATTAATATTATAATTTTAAGTGATATAATGAAAGTGTATCAAGATGGTAATAATAATTCCAACTATTTTGGTAGGTAGAAAAAGTGTGGACTTCTGGTAAACATTTTTCTTTGTCATTTCAAGCTATTCACATTTTTACATTGGTAGAAATTACAAATACTAAAATGGAATAAATATAAAATTTAGATTTTTGGATAAACTAGAATAAAGATCTAAATTGTAAAAAACTTAATCACTATTTACTTTTTGAAAATAGAAAATGTAAATTTGAATAAAATAAAATAAAATAAAATAAAATAAAATAAAATAAAATAAAATAAAATAAAATAAAATAAAATAAAATAAAATAAAATAAAATAAAATAAAATAAAATAAAATAATACTAAATCATAAATTGGTAACATAACTGTGACAAACAAATTGGAAAAAGGATAAAATGAAATTTTAGTGAAAAATAAATAAAAATGACTACAAAAATTTATTTAATTTCGGTACATTTGTAGAGTATTCATAATTAATTTTTTATGCTTAAAAATATTTAGTTCGGAAATTTTTAAAATTATTTTTACATCTTCAAAAAATTGAGAGTTGATAGTTGGGATGAATAAAAAAAGGTCAGCTATAGTTGAGATTATTTAAGTGTATACATAGTTCACATTTAAAAATGACCTGCTATACCAGGTTGTAACAGGTTAGGGAGCCTTTTTGGAAAATGGTCCCTATAGTTGGGACCATTCAAGAATAATCGATAGTTGAGATTACTAATGGCGGACCGGCAATAGTTCAGATTATTATTATCAATTTTTCCTATTACTTATTATACTTGCCGCGTTAGGTTTTGTATTTTAGGAACTCGTTTGGTTACACTGAAATTGGCTGAAAAGATTGAACTTGCTAAATTTGATGAAATTCTAGCTTAATTAACTAAATCTGTGAAATTTAACATGACTTATTTTTATTATTATACAATTCACCGTGTACAATAAAAAATTATGTGTTTAGTAAAAAGTTGATTGATATATTGATGATAGGTGTTACTAAACAATATCTAAGAAATCTATCAATGTCTTTCGTATAAAAGCCTATGAACTTATTCATATCAATAAATCATTAATTTTATAAGTTTACAACTTAAAAGTCAATAAATTAAAAGTCTATGGATATAAAAGTTCATATACATTTCAAAAGTCCATGGGTCAAAAAGAAATCCACCACAGTGTTTCCTTTGTTCATATTAGACGATCCACGAACAGGATGTGCTCAAGCTGTGTGTTCTAAATGATAGTCATTTTTGATCATGTGTTCTCCTAATTTTTTTACTCATGTAGTACACAATTATTTAATTAATGATAATTAAGTTTATTTCTCTAAAACATGGATATGAATCATATGATATTATGATCCACTCAATGTATTATCGGGTTAGTTTTCAGTTCATCAAGCAGACATGTCATATCTGAGTAAGATGATCCGCCCTCCTCCATTGCTTTATGTGCCCTGTCTTTCAACGCGGCTGCTCTGTTTCTCATCTCCCGTGAATCCCCCCCCACCATTACTCTTCCAATGGCGTCTGCAATGTCTTCCTTCTTCACACCATCACTCTCCGCCGGTTTCCACTCTTTCGACCCAACCCCGACTCCGGTCCTCAGAACATCAGTCACCAACTTCTCATTGATGAACTGCTCGGCGAAGACCGGCCAAGTCACCATCGGCACCCCGGCGCAAATCCCTTCCAGCGTCGAGTTCCACCCGCAGTGAGTCACGAACGCGCCCACGGCTCGGTGGTCAAGAATCAGCATTTGTGGGGCCCACCCTCTTATGATCAACCCTCTGCATTCCGTCCTCTGCTCAAACCCTGCCGGCATCCACTGCTCTTTTCCGTTGTCTTCTTCTTTCTTGTTTCTGATCACCCAAATGAAGTCCTGCCCGGAAATTTCTATCCCCATCGCCATTTCTGTGAGCTGGGAAGCGGCGAAGTTCGCCATGCTTCCGAAACAGACGTAGACGACGGAGTTGGGTTTCTTGGAATCCAGCCACTTCAAGCACTCTTTCTCACCGATTGAGGATTTACACCCTCTCAGAGATTTATCTTCTATGTCCCTGTTTAGAAGGGAAAACGGGCCCACCATCCACAATTTTCTGCCAAGAACCTTCCTGTAGTGCTCTGCATAACCTGGTTCCAGATCATGGAAGCTGTTAATGATCACCCCGTAGCTTGTTTCATCCGAATAGCTTATTTGTTTCATGAAATCCTTCAGGGGGTATTCATCTCCGCCGCCGCGTTCGTGCTCGGGGACTTGCAGTCTGGTGAGCTTGAGGTTGTGGGGAAGATTCGGAATTGTGAAGGGTTCTGAATCAGAGGAGACGTTTTCGTAAGGCTTGTGAGTCGCCAGACTGTGCGAGGCACACAGGGAAACGCAGTTGGTTCCGTGAAAGACCAACCTCGGAATACCGAATTTTGCGGCGGCGGCCGTCGCCCAAGGGAAGAACACATCGGCGACGAGACAGTCAGGGCGGAGCTCTTCGAGAAGTTGCTCCAAGGGTTGTTGGAGGAGGGAGCAGGCCTTGAAGAAAGTGGGAATCGCGTCGCCGGAAGGGATCTGGTCGACATGCTGGCAATTTTCCGGTAAGCCAAGCTGGACGCCGGGGAATTCAACCAAACGGATCTTGATTTGGAGACCCAACTGTGTGTATTTCCGAACGGCGGAGGAGAAAACGGGTTCGTTGAGAGGGGTGGTGATTATGGTTGCGGTGACGCCACGGGAGGCGAAGAGCTTGGCCATGTCCAGAGCTGGAATCATGTGGCCGTGAGCCATTCCAGGAAGGAAGAAAACATGAAGGAACTGACTATTACTACCCATTCGTGGACCACTAAGGATGATGACGATGATTGATGATACAGATGAATCTTGCTTGAGTAATTTTACCGCAATGCTCTGTTTTGCATTAGACAGAGACTAGACGGTAAAATTTATAGCACACATCCACACGAGGAGAAATAAGAGCTCTATTACTCGAAAATTGGGTCAACTTTGACTTCCATGTATAATACTACCCTGAAAATTTCTGACTTCCATGTAATTAAATAATTTAATATATTTAATTACATTTTTATTAAAATTTTTCTTTCCTACTCATAAAATGTCAAGTTTCACAATTTATCTTCCCCAATTTATCCTCATTTAATTATTTTTACTTTATATGTTTACTTTTTCTAAATTTCCTTTTTCCTCTCTTTAGTTTTACTCAAATTACTTTCACTTGTTTAAAAAATCGTGTCATTTATCCATGAAAACCTTCCCATGAGACGGAGGGAGTAAATAATATGGAGTATGCATTATGCATGAGTAAAGAAATAATTATGTGTTTGAAAATTATGTAAAATAAAAAATAATAGTTTTAACCACACTCTTAAAACTTTACCATCTCTCTGTTTTATCAATCAAGTTCAACTTTAATTAAAGATATACTACCTATATATATATATATATAGACACACACACACATATACTACCTATATATATATATATATATATATATATATATATATATATATATATGACCAAACTACCTATATATTTATAGGAGATGGTTTATGAAATAAAAAATATATGGAAATGTTCTTCAAATAAAAGCTTTCACGGAAATAAAAAAAAATTATAACTTTCATAAAATTATACTAGGTGCTAATCAAAATTATTGTCCAAAATTTACCATCTTTGATTTGAAAAAAAATGACACTATTTTAAGGGACGGAAGTAGTATTTCTTACTTTACATGGATTGTTAAACTTTTATAAGATGACTAAATTAGGAAATTTGGGAAAGTTTTGAGAGACGAGAAAAATATTTTTATTAAAAGGTACGTGTTTGTTGTAGGACCGGTTCTGGGGCATGGTGATATTGTTATATTTTTATTGTGTATGGTTGCATTTTTAATTAGTTTCATTGTTTGTTGTGGAAATTACACACTTTTGGTGTAATTACTTTATTTTCTAGATAGTTGTAATTTATTTCGATTAAGACTATTCTGAGCTTAAAACATGTCAAGATCATCCAAATGACCAAGATTGGACCATAAAAGATCAAGGAAAGTGCAAAGGGACATGACAAAAAGAAGATTGAAAAAAGAGTTACTATACCCGTTCGGGTATAGGCAATACCCGATCGGGTATTGAGTCGATTCGGTTGTCAAAATCAGAATCTGGAGGACAAAACAACGTGCAGGATTTTGAAGATTTGACTCGTACTCGATCGGGTAAGCCAACATACCCGACCGGGTATGTCCTGAAAAGTGACTTTCCGGGAAACTGCCTCAGATACCCGATCGAGTATCCTATATACCCGATCGGGCACCAAATCGTGCCACTTTCAAACACCTATAAATATACCTCCTTTCCTTCCCAATAAAACCACCAATTCACATATAACTCTAGGCTCAGTTTAGACAAGTATTTTCTTTATATTGTTCTAGTATATTTAGTCTCCAAATGAGGAGCTAAACCCTTCCATCTTGATTTTGCTACATTGAAGCTTATGATTTGTAAGTTGTGAGTTATTTTCTTTAATCATCTTCCTTGAATATTATGATGGAATATGATGGAATAAAGCAAAACGACTCATTAAACTGTCTGTGTTTTTTTGTTATGAAGCAGCGACTAGTCCGTGTAATTTTAAACACGATTCTCACTATGGGTCATCCGGAAACAGCCTCTTTGTGCTTTAGTACAAGGGTAAGACAGCGTACATCCGACTCCCCTTACCCCATCATAGGTGAGAGCCTTTGCGACACTGGGGTAGATAATGATATTGATCTTCCTTGAATATTAATTGCATTCCTATTCTATATCTCATATTAATATTTGAGCATTACTTAAAGGATCAGCTAGTTTTGTTAAATATATTAATTATTACTAGAATCGATCAACGAATAAGCTTGTTATTTGTTCGGTCCTTTCAACGGTAGTAAAATTAGATTATTAATGCATGTGTCTCATGGTTAATAATCCAAGGAGGATTAATTATATTGACTAAACCAATAAACTGCTTGTGTTGAGGTTGTCAATCTCAGTTGATTTCATCTTAAGTTTTATTGCTACTTTCGGTTCAATATAAGACGCGTGTTCGATATTGAATTGATATTAAGTTTTATTAATGAACGCGTCTCGTTATTAGTAACTACACTCGATGAATTGAAAATACTCCATGACTGAGTATTCAAGAGGAAGATAGTTAAAGATATAACCGGAATCAAAGAACATGTCATTAAGTAGAAAGAAGCAAAATCAGGTCTCAATCTTTATTATAAATACCAGTGTCACGCCCTATCCAACTTGTTCCCACGTTGCTACCTCCCATGATATCCACATCTCCGCTGTCGATAATCACAACAATGCACCCCATGGTTTCCCCGGCCATTCCACGTCGTTTGTTTCCGTCCCTACATGGCAATGATGAATGAGTTTGAATTTCTTCGCAACCAATTGAGGGGTGGCGGCTATGGTTGTCACAATCGGAATGATATGGGATAGGAGGGGCGAGGACAAATTATACGAGATCAGAGCGGCTTGAGCTTCTTCCCAGCAAACCGGGGTGGGGAGAGGGGGCTATTGTTTGTTAGTGACAAAATAATAAGCGATTGTAGAGGCGAGGACGAAGTGATGCAAGATCGGGGAAAGGGGAAGGGGCAATGGCTTGCGGCGGGGACGAGATTATCGAGGGCAATGTGTTAGGGAGCTGGTGGGAAAATGGCGGGGAGAGGGGCAACAAGCTAGGACAATGACTGGGGAGGTTGTTGGGGCGGGGGTGGGAGAGTTGTGGGTGGCAATGGTGGTGAAGTCGTAGGGTCGTCGAACGGGTCACTTTGGGTGGAGTCAATTGGGCGCATTTTAATCACTGGGGCGGCAACGTCACTGGGGTTGTGGGTCACTCGGGCATCGTCATTGGGCCTGACGATGGCACTGTGGAGCAGGGGTGGCATGGTCAATGTGTCGTTGAGTCATTGGGACTGTGGTGTAACGATCATTAATTAGGCGGCGGCGGAGCCGCCAAATTGATAGTTAACTGGTGTCAAAGTCATTAGGGCAATAAAATCATTGGTGTTGGTTCATCACTTGGCGCAGATGTAACTGAATGAATATCACTAGGCGGATATCACTAGGGTTTAGGAGGGATAATTAATACCATGCACTAATTGATTTCCTGTTTAATACTCCCTCCGTTCCTTAAAACTTTGTCATCTTTCTTTTTTCCCCAAAAAATTGATGATTTCTCTTTTAGTCAATCAAATTGTGGTTCTTATCATTTCTCTCACCTCTACACAAAACTCAACCACACAGTTTTCTTTATTACTTTTCGTGCCGGTCGAACTTGACAAAGTTTTGAGAGACAGATAGAGGACCTATTTGATTATTTTTTTGAAATTTTAAAAAAGATCTTCTTTTGTCAAAAACCAACAAATTAGCAATATATTAGACTATTAGTCAAAAGTCCCATAATCCCATTATTGTCGGAAAAAGGACATAATAACAAGGAATATAATACTCCCTACGTCCTTTATAACTTTGTCAACTTTCCTTCTTTGGTTGTTCCAAAATTTTGCAACTTTCCCTTTTAATGAATCAATTTGTGACTCATGTTGTTTCTCTCTCCTCTGCACAAATTTCTATCACACAGTTTTTACTTTATTATTCTACGTGCCGGTCAAACATGGCAAACCTTTAAGGGACGGAGGGAGTAACACCTAATAATTGATGATTAAAAAATTAGTTTGTGGAATGTAGAAGGAAGAAAAAATGACCCTTCTAGAAAGTGGTGAGAAAGGAAATGGAATGTACAAGGAAGAAAAAATGACCCTTCCAGAAAGTGGTAAGAATGGAAAGCAACTTGGGTGTGGCGTAATGGATGACTCATTTCTTAAGGACTTAAGTATGTTTGGCACAATTAGTTTGAAAGATACTTTATGAGTTTTTTAGCAACCGTTGATTTGTAGTGATTAAAAAGATTTTAGCAGAAAAATGGGATAGCTTTTTATTGAAAACTGACTGGTTGATTTAGTTCTACTCAATATAGAAGCTTCCGCGGGAATTCCTGATTTTTTTAATTTTAGTTTTCAAATTCTACTACGGAGTACTAAATATTGCTCATACAATTTGATTTCGAATATTATCTTGAAGATTTTTTTATTGTTCCTAGTTTATATATATAAAAAAAAAGTAAACTTCACTTGGTAGGGAATACGGAGTATAAAATAAAACGCGGCTAAATAATTGTAGAGTCATTCCTCTTAATCTTTTACAAGGTTAATATATGTGCTCCTATTATAGACCTAATTCTTAAATTATGATGATTGGGAGGTGATTCAATTGACGCACCCACCACACACTTCAATTCATCTCCTCTATGAGATCTTGAATTCAAAGCAACAATAATTTTAATGCAAAATGTTTTTAAAAAATGTTGCTCTTATGGTTCGAGCGTCGGTGGTTGCTTGTGGTCCTTTTATCGTTTTACCTCCTATCTGAATGTAGTGGTATCAATTTAAGCCATCTGTTTTGACGATTAAAAAAATGTTACTCTTCTACTTAATTGGTGACATTAGTTCAAACGCTTTCTAAATAATGTTTATATTGAAGGGAACTGAAGTTGTTGAGCTACGCTAGGACTCGTGGACATACTTAATACCCCTTACAATATTATGTAGGATATTTTTTATGTAGGATTGTAGGATATTCTTGTATCTTTCAGGATTTATTATTATTCTATAAATATAAAGATAAGGTCACCTCTTAGGCAGGTCATTATTTCTCAATTATTATTTTCTCATATGGTATCAGTTGCTCAGATCCCTAAATTAATTCCTCATGACGTCTGTAACCATTTATACATCACCAATCTCCTTGGAGTAGCCGACGCCACACTATCTCCCGCCGCTACCATCGTAACTCAGCCATGTCCACGATGCCTTTTGTTGCCTCACAACAGGCGCCCGCACAAAAACCTCTGGAACAGCCTCCTGTCAGCATCTCCCTATCGTCGTTGCTTGCACTGAACTTGTGCACAACGGCTCCGCCCCTTTTCTATTATGTTTTGTTCAACATGCCAGAGCCCTTCACGTGGACCGGCCACTTCTCCATCAATCCCGCGTCTTTCGGGTCTAGGCCTTGATCGCGGACAGTCCAGTTCAAGGACACCTTTCTATGGTCCTACACGACTACACATACAGGTAATCCGGGTGTACTTTTGCATGGCAGTCATTCTTATACTTGGTTACCGGGTTTTTCAGCCCCCACTTCCTACTTGTCTTACCTGGTGTCTCAGTTGGCAGTCTCCAATCCCAATGTAACGAACATTGTTACTATAATTAATACTATGTGATTTTACTATGCTCGTGTAAAATCATATACACGAGTATATGTTTTTATTCACTATTTTTTTGGGATTAATAGTAATAATAACATTGTTCTAAAAATCACTTTAGACGTCCGACTAGTTCCGCCCAGGCGCTATGCGGCAGTCGAGCGCCCCCATTTCAGTCTAGGCGCCCGATTAATTGGTTTGACGTGATGAATCAGTAAGACACCTAAGGCGCTTAGTTGTCCGCCCTACACTAACCTACCCAAGGGTCAAGGTAGGGGTAGGGATCGAGTAGGGGGTAGAGTGAGGGATAGGGTATATGGGGTATGGTCATGGTAGGGGTAGGAGGGTTACAGTGTAGGGATGGAGTTGGAGGTAGGGGTAGGGGTAGGTGTTGGGTACGTGGTAGGTGTCAGGTATGGGGTAGGAGCAGTTGGGTACGCGTACAGGGTGGTAGGGGGTAGGCCCCCACGTATTGTACTTGTGTACATAAATGTTTGTGTGCCCATATATGTATAACGTTATTTTGGATATTTTAATGTGAAACGGTGTTTTAAATCGTGTGAAGTAAATAATTAAATATGAGCTTATAGCACTGCTTATAGCGTATTATGGAGGACTATCTCCCTTGGAGAACACACTTCAAATCCTTCCACGTGTCGCATAGTTTACTGGGTATACATGCCAAATCTGAGGCCTATCTTACTAGCTCAAGAACGACTTCTATATCTTTGTAGTTAAGCTCCTACATCACCTGGCCATCAAGCTTTTTCGGTCACACAATTAGGCTTGGACTCGGGCCGGGCCAGGCCGGGCCGGGCCGGCGGTTCAGAATTGGTGGACCGCCACCGGGCCCGGTCCGGGTTCGGGCCAGGCCTCCGGTTTGTTTTTTTTTTTTTTTTTGCTTTCCTAACCCCCCCCCCCCCCCCCCCCCAACCCCTCCTAAACATCTAGCCCAACCCGGGTGGAACCCCAAAAAATGAAAAAAAAAAAAAAAAAAAAAAAAAAAAAAAAAGGCCCAGGCCGGTTCCCCAAATGTAAGACCCGAGCCCGGACCCCCCCACGGGCCTAGGCCCAATCCGGACCCGAGAATCGGGCCGGTCCCCGAGCACGACAATTTGTGGTCTCGGTGGTCTCCATGGTTGCGGTTCATCTCGAGGGGGTGGTCAGACGTGAAGTGGAGGTCACGACAATTTGTGTGGCAACCGCGCACGTGGGCACTGAGGTCGCGGACACGGCAATGGACATTCTGGTGCTTATTATGGGTCATATGCACCTACTGGACAACCAGGTTATGGTGTGCTGGGCAACCCTGGTCACGGACAGCTCATGCTGTGACAAAAGGAACATGTATAGGTAATTCTAGTCTAGTTTTTTCTTGTACTTTCACTTTCCCTACCCGTGGTACTAATACTTTCAGTGCATGTTTTCCGTCAATTGATCACTCAAATTCCTCTCCTTCACCTCCCACTGTTTGTCAGCTGTTTTCCTCATGGTCATTCTGCTCTAACCTGCTCTAGGTTTACCTCCACTGCCCCCCAATTTTAGCTTCTTTGCCCACAAGTGAAACTAATGAGTCTATATGATATCCAGATGCTCACATGACTCCAATTGAAGTGTTTTCTCTTCTAAATCTATTGTTACTACTACAAGTGTGAAAGTTGCTAATGGTACTAAATTGTATGTTTCTCATATTGCCAATATTAAATTATCTACCTATGGCCGACCACTTATGTTAAAATCAGTATATCATTTCCCACATACTAAATACAATTTGTTTTACTGGATTAATTTGGTTCAATTTAGAATAATCTGACTTTTACTGGAATCAGGCTGGAAACTGGAACTATATTATTTCATAAATCATAACAGAAAACCAGAAAAGATATCATTCAGGATCAGTTTTGTTTTAGTCTTCTGTCCAATTTTCCGATTTAACAGGTTTGTAGTTTGTACACAATGTGGACATTTTTTATAATAACATAGCAATTCATTAACTTAAACTTCCGAATAACTAAAGGGTATATAAAAATACAAATGCATATCCAATTTCAACCTGCTGTCGGTCCTGGAGTTAAATGTTATCTATGTGCATATTAAATGTCAGTCAGAGTTTTTTTTAATGTGACTGTTAAGTAAAGAGGCAATCACATATCTCAACTGAAGGAATCCAAGTTAGAAAAGATGATCCCACTAAAGCTTCTGATGGCACTTTCAACTTGCATAGCTTCAAGATCTCCCCCAACTGGTTTTTGCAGCAATTACTAAACATGCATGATGATAAGTTGTGAATGATAAAAGAGGCAATGAAATTGGGGGGGGGGGGGGGGGGGGCAAAATGCAAAAATGCATAGTATTGGGTTGTTCTTCAGCATGGTGTGACTTACCAGAGTAACAACAGTTCGAAGTGAGCATTTTCATTTTTTTCACTTTATAAGAATGCATCGAATGGGTGAGCCCTCAGCACCAAGCATCCGCAATGGTAAGCAGTGGACATTGTACACCCCAAGTTCAATATCATCGAGTTTCAGGGCTTCCACGAGAATAACTTCCTACAGCATTTTTGACCAGTCAGTTGATCATATCTAAGGCTCCATTTGGTAGCCAAAAGTGGCTTATTCTGCTAATCTGCTCATCAACAGAATACATAGTTCTTTTTACTTGTTTGGATGAAATAGATATAAAGTAAAAAAACGGTTTCCTTTTACAAAACTCAGTAATTTCAACCTAATAACCTTACCAACCATGAGTTAAACAGTCCCAAAATGAGCATAGAGTTGACTGATGCATTTTTTAGGTAACTGCTGTAATATTTCATTTAAAATCACGAAATGATATTTATATATTAAAAAACTAAGGAGTGGATTAAAAGGTCTACAAAGTAAGCAGGGAGCTACTGTTTAACTATACATTCATTAAAAAAAAGGAAATGAAGAAAATTCAGTGTGACAGACGAAGATTAAATGTGCCATCCATATTTGGGATGGAGTGCTAGTGTGTTAATTGATGAAAATTAGGCTTTGTTTGCAAACACTACTCCTAAGTGCTTTTGAACTTTTTGAAGTGATTTTGGAAAAAGTTGGTAGTGTTTGAGAAAAAATTAATTTTGAAAAGTAAAAGTTGGTAGTGTTTGGTAAAATAAGTGCTTTTTGTGTACTCCGTAATAGAAAAAGTAAAAAGAAGATTCTAGCTTTTAGCTTTTAAAGTATTAATTTAAGTAGAAGTCTCACTTGAAAACACTCACTTTAGCTTTTTTAAGCCAAAAGCTGGGAAGCGCTTTTTTTAGTGTTTGCAAACAAAGCCTTAATGTCATCCCACTTCTTCTGCAGTGAGACCACTGATAAATGCTTTACATTTGCAGGCATAGTTTTTGTCTCTGGCTGGAAAACCCAATTGAAACTGATAAATAAAAAAAGCTTTTACCCTGTCTTTGAGAAAAACTAAATGGGAAGGGATCAGGTCATCATATGCAGCAACGGATAAGTAATCAATTCCTGCAATCCCACAAAACCAACATGAATACTGAATCCAGCACATCAATCCATTAAAAATCATGTTGCTCCCAAGGATAAACTATTTTTAGGTCAAAAATTCAAATTCAAAATCAAAATGGAACTGATATTATCTCACCTACAAGTTTAATGTCAGTGTGATCAACTAGCCACTGTGCTCCATCCTTCATGAATCCCACATAGCTTGTGTCAAATGCTTTCTTCCACATAAGACGCCTGAAAATAAATCTGTCACACTTAGCTTTGTATGAAGAAAGAAGTAAGAAAGGTAGAGGTTGGAGAGAAGAGATCAATCAATCATTCATCATTTACCCCAGTGCTGCAAAGGCTCCCACCTACGGTGGGGTAGGGGGGGGTCGGATGTACGCAGTCTTACCCATGTACTAAAGCACAAAGAGACTGTTTCCGGATGACCCATAATGAAAATTGCGTCCAAAATTGCATAAGTAATAATAATCTCTTTACCCCTTATAACTTTGTCAAGTTTGACCGGCACGTGAAGTAATAAAGTAAAAAATGTGTGATTGAGATTTGTTTAGAAAGAGAGAAATAACAGGAACAATAAATTAATTGATTAAATAGAAATGTGGCAAAGTTTATAAAGACAATCAAAAAAGGAAAGATTGCAAGGCTATAAGGGACGGAGGAAGTAAGTTAATTTGTTCAATTGTGCGTCTTTGGATTGAAAGTAGGAGAGAAAAGGAAGTGAAAGAAAATGAATTTTGTTTCTAAAAGCAAGTTCGCCCACAACATATAGAATAATCAATTGCATTAATGAGGTTAAATTTATAAATTTAAATTAGACCCTTCTTCTCATGCTTTCTCTCCGCTTGTGGAGAAATCTTATTTTTAAGTGGATCCCATACTAGTTTTTAGCCCAACCAAACGATGCAGTTGTGATTTTGTCTACCATTTCTCTTGGTCCATTTTCTCTTACACACAAACTTGCCTACCCAACAATGCAGAGATGCAGAAATGTTGTGAAGTGATAGGGTTCAGCAGTGCATACGTACACATTGAAGATAATTATGCAGTGCATACATGACTTAATTTGGGGTTTTGTTGTGCATACGTAGACATTCAAGAATGCATAAAAAATGCGACTTAGCACATTATTGATTATGCAGTGTATATGTCACTTAATTTGAGGGAGAAGACATAAAATATGTGCAAAGTTGATTTGACTATATCCAATCCCTATATGACAAAACTATATCCAAACCCACCGGCTGAGAGCCTTGTTGAGTGTGTCGAAATCTATCCTTGAGATTTCGAATCTTGGACACCGAAATGCCAAATGTGTTCCGTTAAGCTGCTCAAGGGTCTTCCAGACCGCTGCAAATGTGCGAGCGGAGCCGATCAGGGGTTTACATGCCGAAGATTCAAAGAGCTAGTATGTCAAGTATCTTACAACCGTTACTATATATTCATGTATCTTACAATCGTTACTATATATGATGAGTATACGCCGATACGGTACCCTAGTCAGTATCTTTCTAATTATTATATAGAGTAAATATCTTACCGTATAAGACTACTTCCAAATTGTACAAATAGGGTTGTTTATCAATTGATTACTCAAGCAATTCAATCTGAAATATTATCCCTTCTAAATTCTTTAAAAACAACTTAATAAAGCAATTCAATCTGAAATATTCTCCCTTCTAAATTCTTTCAAAACAACTTAATAAAGCAATGTCATATTCATCTAGCTAAGTCCTACGAGATGATTAGTTAGCACTTAGCAATTATGATAAGGCACATACCTGTCCGTGTTAAGTGTTCTAAACAACACTCGCTTAACTCCCTTTGGAATATTGAAGGACCTCATTACTTCAGCTGATTTAAAGAAGACAAACATTAAGGACCACCAAACTGGTTAATATGCTACTAAAGATATTTGTATGAAAGAGAAACTAAAAAAATCTTGAAATAATATGAATATTAGTTTCACCAATACTTTAGATTAAGAGGACATGTGAAAATCAATTATCCAGAACTTGAGTAGTTGGATATACAGTTGGAATTTAGGAATCTAAGACATCAACCGAAACAACTTGTTTCAAACTTGGTCAAACTCGAGCTCGATAAGAATGCATTGGATCGAACTTGAGCTCGAGCTTGAAGGAGCCTAATAAATTTGGCACCGAGCTCGATTCAGGCTCGGCTCGAGTTTTGCTCATTAAATTATATATGTTCGGATTCGAATAAGATGCTTGAATTCAATCTCGAATTCAAGATAAAAATAGATGTTCTATTTTCAAAATTATTAATATTATATTTATGCATGCAAATAAATAAATACTAATATATTATATTTGGAATTTTGTACTTTTTTGTTCTCATTTTTGTTAGTTTCTCTCTCATTCACTAACATTTTACTTTTATTTTACTATCAATTAAAATTTAAAACATATAAATAAAAAATACTCCGTATATATGATGTGTGTGTGTATTTATTTATTTATATATATATATATGTATATGTAACGGCTCATGAGCCCACGAGCTAAAAGGAATTGAGCTAGAGCTCAACTCGATTGCGTAGTGAGCCCACTCGAGTTCGATTCAAGTTCGAGTTTGATCTTACTTGAGTCGAGTTTTGACCGAGCGGCTCACTTGTAGCTCACGAGCCGCTTGACTCGTTTGCACCCCTAGGGATATGTATTTACCGGTAATGTTCTTGTCCCTTGGAACGTCAATTACCAATGCAGGACCTGCCAAAACCAAATAACAAATCCTTCTCATTGACAAGCTAATGAAAAATTAAAATAACAATCTCACAAAGGACAGCAACTTAGTAATGCCAAGCATTCAGCTGATTATAATTATGCCATGCACAATCCAAAAACTACAGATATGATGAATAAAAAATACTTCAAATAGATCTGTGTGGAAACATACTGATACATTCTTGTATCAGGATACCAAGTAAACCCTTACTCCACCAGAGAAGCTAACTCATGAGTGGAGGTTCGACATTGACTTAAATATCACTCCATTTCTATAGGGCCCAATGTAGTACTCGCAACATTGCCACACGGCCACACCCTTGAAGAGCTGATGACCAGAGCAGCAAAACTTTCTCGGCACCAACCTGGTCGTGGCCCTTTCCCTTTTGGAGAATTGGAGGCTTTACTCGCCTACACTATTTGGTACCACAACTTTTCAGGTATGAAATCTTAATCAAACCTGTATATAGCCACTTCCAAGGTCTCCGACTCTCAAGGAAAACCAATGATTCAACCCAAGGTTGAATGGAAGGCCCTTTTAGAGGTACACTCCAAGACTATAAGATGACTCTAGAGAAACAAAAAGAGTTAGGAAAGCTCTTCATATATTTCTCATAGCTTCGGGATGATGTCTCTATCAAATTAAATGCAGACTATACTAAGATGAAAGAACAGATTATACAAATAAAGAAACAACCTAGACATAATTAACTATGATTGCTAGTGCACAACTGCACATAATGCACGTGTATCACTCGTCAGTCCTTAGGTGATCACCTTGTCCTCAAGGTGTAATACAGGAAATAGAAATACCAGAGGTACCGGGAAATCCAGCGATGTCTCATGGAGTTATGGTTAATAACGTGAGTACGTGACCGGTGAACAGGCATATTATCTGTCTGGAGTAAGGTTGCCCTTTGATGGAAAAAAATTGATTTTTGATCTAATATTGTATCTCCCTCCAGTGTGACAAAAGAATCTTCATGTTTGAATTTCATAGTGATTCGTAATTAGGCATGTCTAGAATTGGTTTTGTTTATGCTTCTTTTTTAAAAGTGGAATTAGAATCAATTTTTAAGAAGCCAGTCTCCCCCAGCTTCTCAAAAACTTCTCCTTGGAGCAATTTGAAGCATTTAGAATGACTTCTGCACTTTCACCCAAAAACTCTAATATATGTTTCTACTCCTTCAGGGAGGAGAAACAACATAGAAGTAGATTCGAACACCCCTAATCATGAGCAACACCCAAACCCTAGAGCCATTGCATGTGTGCACACCTACAACTATATTTGGGTCTGCGATATAGATAGTATAGCACATGCAAATCAGTCTTGAACAGTGAATCTTATAGTTTCACCTTGACATTCAGGCAGTAGTGTTGACACAAAGTGGAGCTGTGTAGGATGATGGTGTTGGGAGGCCGTTTCTTTCTCAGTCAAAGCCCAAAAGATACATTCGTGTAAAAGGATACCAATTGTACATTTGTACCGCATACATACTCATAAGGCGAATGACCACAATGTTTTACTCTTGAACTCCAGGAGAGCTCAAAACAAAATCAAAATCAACAGTTTTTCACATACATCAAAATATCAAACAGCTGGAATTGAAATGTTATAGGACCCGCCTGGATTGTGACGAACCAATCCAAGCCAGTTAACTGTTAAAAGAGAGTAATTAGATAGACGAATGAGGGAGGCAGTGATGGTTACCGTTGAGAACTTCAAGGTCGAGAGTGTCAACATCGAATCCGGCATCCAAATAATGATCATAGACATGGCCAGGGGCATCAATATGAGTACCCGTGTGAGTAGGGAGCTTCATCTCGGAGTTGTTGGCCAGAGAACCGTTTTTCATGCTTTGGGGGAGCCACAGGAACTGACCGAGTCCCTCTTCGGAACCCCAGGACGGCATGTCAGGGCGCAAAGTATGTGTTATGTCGAAAATCCGACCACCGCCGTGTACTTCTCGCCGAACGGGGACGAGGTTATCAGAAGGTGCAGAGTGGGAGCTGGCCGAGTTAACGGTGACGTCGAGTCCGTAAGGAGGAGGGTAGGCTGTAATTTTCGAATCGAAGAGAGCTCGAGCGAGCTTAACTTGCACCAATGTACATATTAGAAAGAGAGAGAGCTTATCCATGTCTTCCTAGGAGATTGGAATCGTGTTCTTTAGCAGAGGGAACTCTGAAATTGGGAGTCAGATATAGAAGACGATTGAACGTTGAACGGATTGACCGATTAAATGAACAAAAATTGTTTCACATTTTAGTTATTTTTCATTTTTCTTTTTTGGCTAAAAGGTCAAATAGGCGCTTGAACTGAAATGTTCAATTAGCCACTTATATAGGAGGTTCTATCCGACCGTCGTCAATTGGGACGGTTCCCGGTGGAATGTTTTAATAAAAAAAATTGAGCATCTTCTTCATTAAGTCTAGTTTACTCATACCAAATTTCAGCTAATAATTCAACCGAGAAGGCAGTCAAATGATTTTTTGAAGATAATTGTGAAGTGAAACAACGCAATACATTTCGGAAAATCATTTGACTGCCTTCCCGGTTAAATTTTTATCTGAAATTTGGTATGGGTAAACTAGACTTAATGAAGAAGATGCTCAAAAAATTTCATCAAAAAATTCCACCGGGAATCGCCCCAATTAGCGACGGCCGGGCAAAAGCTCCTATATAAGGGGCTAATTGAACACTTTAAGTCAGTTCAAGGGCCTATATGACCCTTTAGCCTTCTTTTTTTATTGAATACTCCCTCCATCCCGCAAAATAGTTCCTGCATCGATTTGGATCAAAGTTTAAGAAAGTGGAAATAAAATGGAAATGTATAATTGCGATTGAGTAATGAAAAGGTAAAAGAATGTGAGTCACACAAAACTTTCTAAAAGAAATGAAAACTATTTTTTAAAATTGGCATGTTTGTTCTGAGAAGCCATTGAATTCACAAAAAAGTATTTTTATCATAAAAAGCTTTTTAAAATATCAAGAAAAAATGAGAAGGTATTAACGGTTATTAGAAACTCGATTGCAAGCCCTTTGTTTTCAACCACTTGTGCTTAAATAAAAGCACTTTTTGGGAAAAAGTGATTAGTAGTAAAAGTTGGTAGTGTTTGGTAAAATAAGTTTTTTTTGTGTAATAGAAAAAGTAAAAAGTAGATTCTACACAAAAATCGAGATAGTAAAAGTTGGTAGTGTTTGGTAAAATAAGTGTTTTTTTCTTTAAAAAAAAGTCAAAAGCACTTATTAACAGAGATTGCAAACAGAGCCTTAGAATCTGACATAAAGTCATTCACCAAAAGAAAACATACTGAATTGCTGATCGTCAAGGGCAGAGACGGATCCAGGGGGCGCGGGGGCGGCCGCCCCTCTTGGACTTCCAAATTTTTCTACTATATATATAATATTTTCATAAAAGTTTCATACTTTAATTATGTATATATGTTTTCACCCCCTTAACTTTTAGTTTTCAAAATTAATATATCGGCTCACATAATGCAATGCTCAATTGGAGATTTAAAAGAAGTAGAATCTAAAATAATTTACATAACTTAAACAAATAAACAATAGAACTCGTTGGTTAAGACTTAGGGTACACAAAATTTCTTAGTTTTGTAATGTTTAATTATCTTTATTAGATAATTAGTACTCGATTTTGTAAGATATCAAAAGATATTGTATATCAGATACAGTAGTTAAATAGTATAAATGTTTGTTGACATTAAATTACACATTTCATTTACCTCTTACTTATTGGAGATAAATCATAAATAATATTTATCTTATGTATTTAGATTAAACCAAATGTAAATCTTATCCTATACAGTTAGTTACACATTGTACTCCTATAAACCCATGTATATTTCAATTGTAAAAGATATAATTCATTCCTTCCTATAATTGTTTCATGGTATCACAGCCTTCGATCTAGCTTATCTTTTTTTTTTTCGGCCTTCATCCTCTTCTGATCACCATCATGGTTTCTCCATCAACACATGAGGTTGATGCCACCTCCGATTCCAGCCACATCCACATTCCCAATTCCTCTGAACCCAACAAACCCTTGATTTCTGTTAATCTCGGGAATGTCATCAAACTATCCCCCACCAACTATATCTCTTGGCAGTTACAAATTCAATCTCTTCTCACTGTCTATAATCTTGAAGGATTTCTTGATGGCTCCTTCCCTTGCCCGCCTGCTACCAAGACGGTGAATGGTGTCACTTCCCTAAATCCGGCGTACTCCTCTTGGATCCGTCAGGATAAACTTTTGTTTGGTGCCCTCATTGGTACTCTTACTTCTTCTGTGGTCTCTCTCATTACTCGTGCCAAAACTACCCAAGATGCGTGGAACACACTCTCATCTGTCTATGCCCAACCATCTCGTGGACATGTCAAACAACTCAAATCTCAAATGAAAAAATACACCAAAGGCTCCAAGTCTATCACTGAATACATGCATTTCATGAAAACCGCTGCTGATGAATTAGCTCTCCTGGGAAAACCGTTGGATCATGAAGATTTCATCGAAATGATTCTTGACGGCCTTGATGAAGGCTTCAAATCCATTATTGAGGCACTTGAAGGTCGGGAGAATTGCATCACCTTTACTGAGCTTCATGAAAAGCTTATTAATCGTGAACTAAAATTGCTCCTTGAATCCGAGTCATCTCCCACGCCTATAACCGCCAATGTTGCTCGGGGTCCTTCTTCCTCGGGATCACGCGGCCGCGGCGGACGTCATCACTCCACCTCTGGTCGTGGTGGTTCTTTCTCCAGTCGCCCCTCTTCTTCAGGCACCACGCCTCGCCCATATCTCGGCACGTACATGTCAAGCCTGCCGCACTCAAGGGCATTCTGCCCGTGCATGCCCTCTCTTCCGGCTCACTTCCATTACTGGAGCACCTCTCGGAGCACCTACATCAAACTGGTCAGCGCCATCACGTGACTCATCTACTCCGTGGCAGCCCTCTCCTCGGCCAGCCTGGTCTCCTCCACAGGCTCATGCTGTCATGGGCACCGGTCTTCTTGGACCAGCTCTGTCTTCTCCGTGGATTTTTGACAGTGGAGCCACGCATCACTTGACATCTGATCTGGACAACTTATCTCTGCATACTCCATATTCGGGCACTGATGAAGTTGTCGTTGGAAATGGTAGTAGTCTTCCTATAACTTTTACGGGTTCAGGCACTTTATCCTCTCCCTCTCGTTTATTTCACCTGAAAAATCTTTTATGTGTCCCTTCCATTCACAAAAATCTTATATCTGTGTCACAATTTTGTCTTCAAAATAATGCCTCTGTTGAATTCTCACCATCTACCTTTTGTGTTAATGATCTTCGCACGGGGGCACCCCTCCTCCACGGACGAGCTAACAATGGTCTCTATGAATGGCCGCCCCTCACCATTTTTTAAATTCAAATTCCCATATTCTTGGCCCAAATTTCTCTAATCCCTCCCACCTTCCTCGGTCAACACCCGCCCTCCCATCTTTATCTCCTTCCACTTCTCCAATTATTATCCTCTCCCCAATAATATCTCCTCCAAATATTCCTCCAATCAACAATATATCATCCACTAACCGCCCTTCTACACAAATCACTCCAACTCAATCCCATCTTATCCCAACATCCTGCCAACGTACTCCAAACCCCATACCGCCCCGGTCGGCAACATTAACTTCTCCATCCCATAACAATAGTCATATTCCATTCTCCACCACGTCAGACAACCCACTTATTCCCATGCATGAGTCCACTTCCTTGCCTGACACTAATGAACAGTCTACGTCTCCCTCTCCCATGCACACGTCTTCTTCCTCACCCATGCAAACGACTATCCAGTCTTCTCCCTCACCCCCCCTCGTCGAGTCACCCGCTCCATGAATAATATTTATCGCCTCGTTACTAAGTATAACCTTCATTCTAGTGTGTCTTCTTCATCTCCTGAACCCCGTACTGTTACAGAGGCTCTAGCTAATTCCAACTGGCGGCAAGCTATGTCCGAAGAGTTTAATGCTCTTATAAAAAATGGTACTTGGACTTTGGTTCCTCGTACTGGCAGAGAAAATATAGTTGGCTGCAAATGGGTATTTCGGGTTAAACGACTCCCTAATGGTGATATTGATCGGTATAAGGCACGGCTTGTAACAAAAGGTTTTCATCAACGCCCCGGCATTGACTATACGGAAACATTCAGTCCGGTTATTAAACCGACAACTATCCGACTAGTCCTCTCTCTCGCCGTTAGTCGTGGGTGGTCGCTCCGTCAAATTGATGTTAACAATGCTTTTTTGCAGGGCCATCTCTATGATGACGTTTTTATGCTTCAACCTCCAGGCTTTATTGACTCCACCAAACCTACTCATATCTGTCGTCTCCACAAAGCGTTGTATGGTCTCAAGCAGGCACCCCGGGCGTGGTATCAAGAACTCAAGCAATTTCTTATTCAACTGGGCTTTACAAACTCCAAGGCTGATACTTCTCTATTTGTCTATCATCGTGATACTACTCTCATCTATGTTCTTGTTTATGTTGATGACATAGTTATCACTGGCAGTTCCTCAACTTTTATTGAAGCTCTCATCACTACTCTTGGGCACCGATTCTCTCTAAAAGATCTTGGCCAATTATCCTACTTTCTTTGTATTGAGGTTATTCCTCATCCGAGTGGTATTCTTCTCTCTCAACACCGTTATATAATGGACCTACTATCTCGGACGAAAATGGCTACATGTAATGGTGTGACCACACCTCTTGCTGCCAACTCTAAACTCCGCCTTACAGACGGCCAGCCACTCGAAGATCTAGAAGAGTACCGCTCTGTTGTCGGTGGCCTCCAGTATCTAGCTCTCACTCGGCCAGACCTCTCGTATGCTGTGAACAAGTTGTCCCAATTCCTTCACTGCCCTACTACTACACACTGGGAAGCAGCGAAGAGGGTACTTCGCTACCTTCGTCACACAGCCACTCATGGCCTTCTGCTGCGCCGCTCTTCTTCTCTCTCCTTGCATGCCTATTCTGATGCCGACTGGGCCGGGAATCCTGATGATTACACTTCCACGGGAGCTTTTGTCATATTTCTGGGTTCGAATGTTATCTCTTGGAGCTCCCGGAAGCAACGCACGGTTGCTCGCTCTTCTACCGAGGCCGAATACCGCTCCGTTGCTACTACTGCTGCTGAACTTCGATGGATACTCTCCCTTCTCACTG